ACACTACATCCTGATCATGCCCCTGTTCAATTCCCTTCTAGCCCAAGGTTTGATGAAGTGTAGTACTGTAGAAATCCCATGTGCAGGGAGGCCAGGCTGATCTAACAGTGGACTTTCAGGCTGTTGCCGGGGCTTGTGCCGACCTGAAGTCACGGTAACCAGCAGAAAACACCACAGCAGACGTGAGAGATGCAAAGAGCGGAGGCTGGTGTACACGGTGTGGCCACTGAACTAAGCTAAATGATCCCACCAGACCCAACATGGCCATAAACCAGAACCAGAACTCACTCCCAGAACTCAATGATGGGCGACTGCCCATCCGCCAGCTCAGCGCAGGTCATGTTGCCGTTGACAGTGGCGTTGACAGTGGCGTTGGCGAGGCTGGCGTTGCTGCAGTCCTGGTGGCTGAAGATCTCGATGCAGCTGGGTGTGTTCCACTCGTTGTCACAGGAGGCCCAGGGCAGGGAGGAGGTAAAGGACTTGATCATGTAGTAGAAGCCCCAGGCCAACACCATAATGTAGTAGGTGTTACAGAAGAACACGATCACCATGGAGGCACAGCCCAGACCTGAGGAAGAGGAGGAGGAGGAGGAGGAGGACAGGTCAGCGTGATGCCTTCATATGTGCACTGGAGCTGAGGGCAAAGTTTAAAACTACATATGTTCTTTCCATCTTTCATTTGTTTATCCTGGTGTAGTTTTAAACCTTTTACTGCTTCCTATTAAACACTGACCTCTGACCTTAGCTAGGACACGGCAGGCCAAGACAGTTTGACTGATGAGTGATTTAACAGAGGGCATGCTGATGACATGTCACAGCCAGCAGAAAACCAGCCTCCACACACAATCAAAAACCATCACTACTCTTGCAAATAAATTACAAACATACTAAATATGTAAATATATCTATTACAGGTGTGTATGATTCAGTTGATTGTGTGTGTGTATGTTATCAGTAAACATAAACACACACTGTCATGTGTGTCTGTACTGATGAAGACTCAGTGTGAGGGCCCACTGCACCGTTTCCAGATAAAGCTCCTTCGCTGTAGACTAGACACTGGTCTGACCAGGAACAGAAATTCTGAGGTCATCGTTCCTATGCTGATATCTGCTCGTGACACCTTCTAAACATTACACCTGTGTAACGTGCAGGCGACTCTGAGACACTGACAGATGTGCACATTCATCGATAAGGCAGAAAAGAGAAGCTGCTCCACGTGGCCCAAACTGCCAAACTGTTTGAGGTTATACACTCTCACACAACTCAAATCAAAGTCCAAGGACTCGGTCGTGTCTCATGCTGATGTCAGCGCCGCTCTGCAGAGAATGAGCCCGTGTCCTCTGGGCAGCTCCGCCCTCAGGAGGAGCATGTCTATCTGCAGCACTGGTGTGAAGCCAAATCACGGCTGTGTTGACCCGTTGGTGACTGTATCAGGCTGTATGAATGTGTAGGTGGAGCTCTGTCAACACCACCTGCCGTGTAAAGGTCACAGGAAGGTCTCTGACTAGTAAACTAAAGCAGTCATGTGCTCCCTGCAAATATCTAGCTGCTGATAACGTTGTGTGTAAATGTAACACAGATAATAAAGAGCCGGCTGCATGAATCAAACTGTTTATGAGTGTGTGTGTGTGTCGATGGCATGTTTCAAGCCCTGACTGCAGGCACGTACAACAGGCCACTGATTAACACCTCCAGATTAACCCGGGATACAAAGGGCTCCTGGGCACAGACATATAGGAGGCCATATACCAGGCCCCCGCCCTCCTACAGTGGAGCAGGAGACACAAAACCACTGAGCAACACAGCCGAGGCCACGTTTGCTCCATCCGCACGCCAGCAGCGATGCGCTACGGCCAGCTGCCGACAGCAGACACATCCAGTCTGTGAATCTAACACAAGCCACTGTCACACACACCGGCTGCTGGCACCAGACCTCTGGCATGCTGGCACGAATTACACTATTAGTAAAAAAACCAAACCACAACCACCTTCATATGGATCTCCTCTGCTTGTCCCAAACGGAGTCTAACCACGGAGCTACCTGTTTAATCGACAGCTACCTCACATGCACAGGATATACTGTGTGATTTAAGCCCTGTACTGAACCTGCCTCCTTGATTATTGGAGGAATATCAGCCATTTTGTGTCTTTGTGGTTGTGTCTCTTTCATGTCATTTGATTGACTTGTCAGCAGCCATGGATCGACCTGCATGTGCATGTAACTGCGCTGGTCTGCGTCCGAGTCCTCCTGCAGCTGAGACATCGACAGACTGGGACTAAACAAAGTCAGACTGTTGATCTAATGCTGATGAGCGGATGAATTTAATACTGAGCCATGGCCTGTGTTTCACAAGCTGAACTCTAAAGCGCCAAACTGAAGTGTCACTTTTTCTGTCGCTACTTGTTTCCATTTTGCCAAGGTGACTCATTTCTCTCTCTGTGATTTGGAGGTCGCCATCCACGCTTCTGTTCCCTCCAGACTGGACTGCTGTAACGCCTGGTATTTTGGAGTACGTAAATCTTCCCTCGCTCAGCATCAAATGGCACAAAATGCTGCTGCACGTCTCCTGCCGGTGTAAATTCAACCACATGTCACCAGCACTGCCCTCTCTCCCCCCTGGCCGCCTGTTCATGTTAAACCGTTGCTATTTAATTCTAAGTACTGAATGGCGTGGGGCCAGAGTACTGGCGTAGGCCTGCGTAGGCCTACGGAGCCCTGAGCTCTGCAAACCTTCTCTTATTACAGGTCCCCAGGGTTAAACGATGTCATTGTCTCTCTGTAGCGGCCCCTGCACTCTTGAACTCTCCATCAGCATTAGATCCGTCTCAGACCTGCTGGATTTTAAATACTTATTAAAAACTATTTATTTGCTGTGGCCTATGGCTCCTAGTGAAGTCCACATCTTCTCTGATTGTTTTCCATCACATTTTGTTTTCATTCCCATCATTTTGATTGTCTTACTGTACTTGTGAAGGACTTTGGTCAACATGCCGGTGTTTTAAAGTGCTATATAAATAAATCTGACTTGACTTAAGGTCCTCTACAGTTCAGAGGAAACAGCTGGAGTTACCTTACAAAGTGACATCTTACATAGAAAACCCTGCAGTATAAAGCTTTGTCATAACCAGACTGTCAATCTGAGGTTTCTATATTATTTGTAAAAGTACAGTAAGAGTTCATTTCTAACGACAAGCTGACGGTTGCTTCAGCACCTCCACTCGGAGTGCAGTGGCCGACACAGCCGCCAGACCCAAACCCTGCCTCCTGAGCCTGCTGCTCACTTTGAACACACAGAGACCTGAGTTTTGAGAAGACGTGTAGAGCAGTGCACCTTTAAACAGAGGAGCGATGTTCCACACGTTGATGCTGCCGGCCTTCATGAACTGTCCGAGAGCGATCTCCAGGAAGAAGATGGGGATCCCTCCAATGAAGACGATCAGCAGGTAGGGGATCAGGAAGACACCTGCAGGGCGACACAGGCAGACATGACTGGTTACCGTCCAACACTGTGAGCCTCCTGGCTGAGCAGCAGCAGACGGTGAGGGCCATCTGCAGTACATTCATGTCCACCGACTCCACCACAGCAACAACAGAGGGTAGGTGAAGGCAACGAGTCTGCAAACAGTACACATACACAACTGGCGTCCACGTGTAAAACAAGGCAAACATTAGAGTCCACTTCACAAAGGTGACGCTGAAAAGGAGCAGACGTCAAAACAACAAACAAATGTCACTTTATTCATGAGGAAAAGAACTACACAACTAAAACTGTTCAGTGTGTTTGTCGTGTTTGTTGCTTTTCTTTTCTCTCTTCTACCCACTCACCCCAACCAGTCGAGGCAGAAGGAGGTTTCTTCCATTAAAAGGAGTTTTTCCTCCCTGCTGTCGCCATGTGCTGCTCAAGGGGGGGGTTGCTGGCTTTTCCTCTCCAGCACTGTGAGGTCTGGACCCGACTGTGTAAAGAGCCCTGAGACGACGGCTGTTGTGAGCTGGTGCTATAGAAATAAAACTGAACTGAATCTAATGGCTTCAGGGGTAAAACCAAACTGCTTCACAACTTCACAACAAATGAGCAGAAACACACTGCAGAAGAAGAACACGCCCTGTTGTGTTGTTCGCTGGTAGCTCAGCGCGGCAGCCTCAAGTACAGTTTTGAGATGTGTGCATTTCACTTTACACTTGTACTCCAGTGCACTTCAGAGACCTTTTACTGGACTGTGTTTATCTGGCAGCTGGAGCTACTGTGAGTAAGCAAACCAAATATTATCTAGAAACAAATTATGACACAACAAGCCTTTTTAATCACACACTACGTAGCAGTATGTAAAGTAGAAGATGGGGCAAAACAAAGCGCCAACAGTCAAGCCTCACATCAAACAAGAAGCTGATCTGCTCATTTTTCCGAGCCCACATTGTTTATTTCAAGTTTTATTCAGTGAAAATGTGAAAAACTAATTTCCATGTTTCAGCCATGATGTCTGTGGCCAGCGACAGCCGCAGACAGGCATTCAGGTTGTCCGTCCGTCTTCCAGCCCATTCACGTGAATGCGATATGTTGGGAATGCGTTGATGAAAATTTTTTGTTGTTGATGAGAAACCTGAGAAAGTGTCCACTTGGACTCCAGGATAAACTGATTTGATTTTGGTGGTCAAAGGTCAAAGGTCAAAGACGGCGCATCTGTCCCATTCCTGTGAATTTGACTGGTGGGTGGAGCCAAACAACAGCACAGCATCTATTTGCTATTTACTTCATCTATTGCATAGTGAAGTTAAAAGTGACATGCTACACTTACCGATGACAACAACAGGACATGTCCAGACGGCATTTTTAGGGTTAGGGTTTTAAAGGGTTAAAGTCTTGTGGCAGCTGGACATGGCGACTGATTGTAAAACAGAGAAACCAAAGTTAAACATCTGAAAACTGGTGCAAAACTTGTAAACTGATCAGCAGGTGTGAAGATAAACAGGTAGTGTAGCTCATGAGCTGAAGCGCTAAACTGCAGTTTGGCCCTTTAACAATTCAGGTGTCATGTTTATTTCAGCAGCGTCGTGATGACGCCGAGCTTCATGTAACTGAACAGGCAGGAGGGAGTGGAAGTGAATCTTCATCCCCACTCCTCGTCCTCTCTGGCTCCTGAGTGAGTGAAGGACGGGAAAAGTCTCATTTCTCAGCTCTTCATTCATACTTTATCCCGTCTTTGAATAAATGAAAGAAAAGACAGAGGAGCTGTCCCTCTTTGTCTCTGAGCCAAAAATCAGAATCAGTTTTATTGGCCAGGTGTGTCGGACACATGAGGACTTTGACTCTGGTACATTGGCTCTCAGTGTGTATGTACATATCCTCATGCAAGGGGCAAGTAAACAGTAAACCAGCATAAGGCTGTGTAATATAACAAAGTAGCAGTATTAACATCGACAAACAGTGCAAACAATGCAGAGTAAGCAGTGTAAACAGACAGTAAACAATGCAGACAGACAAAGGAATGTTCATTGAAATGAGATAAATAGGAATAAAAACAGAGTACTTAAAAATAGAGACCTGTATGGATCTCTATAATCTGTACAATGTATATTTACAGGTATTACACTGAGGGTTATTGTCCAATCATACTGTCATTGGTTAAGTGTTCATCAGAGCGACAGCCTGGGGGAAGAAACTGTCCCTGTGCCTGGTTGTCTTAGGGCACAGTGACCTGTAACGCCGTCCAGAGGGGAGGGGTTCAAGCAGATTGTGTCCAGGGTGTGAGGGGTCTGCAGTGATCCTCTCCACCCTCCTTTTGACCCGACCAGACAGTGATGGAGGTGCAGAGAACAGACTCGATGATTCCTCTGTAGAACTGGATCAGCAGCTTCTGGGGCAGGTCGAACTTCCTGAGCTGGCGCAGGAAGTACATCCTCTGCTGTGCCTTCTTGGTGATGGTCCTGATGTTGGACATCCACTTAATAAAAGAGGAAACCAGAGAATTTTCTCAGGAAGTAGAACTGCTCCTTCAATGTATTTTATTTCTCCTGGTTTGGTGAAGAATGACACGTGTGTGCGTTGTAGGACTGATATGGAGGAAGGTGTGAGGGTGTGTCCTCCTCATCCTCTGTGGCCGACCGCCTTCTCTCACAGGTCCGGTGTTAAGACAGTGAAACGGGCGTTTGTAAAGGCGAGACCTGAACCATACGCCTTCACACACTGAACAGTAACTGTGACTAACAGCTGCCGTGGAAACGATGAGTTACTTCTCTTACAATGTCTCTCTAATGAAGGAAGGAATGAATGCTCTCCTTCTACTCTGAGCTGGGGCGAGAGACATGAATGAACAATTAGGAACACACTCTCTCTCTGGTATGTTAACTGGTGTGATTGTGGGGGTCCACACACACACACACACACACACACACACCGCAGGGGGAGACTGGGTCACAGTGCCACCAGGAACTGGTATGAATGGAATCAAACTGGAACAATACTGGGAGGCAGAAGGGCTGAGTTACATAACAGCAGCTGCCATTACACACAGTCACCCGGCATCGACTACGGTCACCACTCAGGTTCATATCACCTGAAAAACTGTTTTAATTCCTGACTGAAAGTGACACATCACACAGATATCCCCATCAAACACCTGGCCCGACCCACGTGTTATCTTAGGACACATGCATCTTCCTGCACTGCATGGACGGATCACTGATCGGATCACTGATCGGAATTGCTCTGTGGCGAGGGCTCGGGGGGCCCCTGGACCAGAGCGTCTGTATGAAGTGACTGTTAATACATTTTGTTAGAAAGTCAGACAAATAACCACAGAGAGACAAAAGAAGAGTAAAATGGATGTAAAACAGCCACAAAGAGACCAAATGAGCACAAGGAGGCAGAAAACAACTAAACATGATCCAAAACAAGTAAATGACAGAGGACATGCTGAACAACCTCATAGTAAAACATCAACCAAATGCAAAGTGACTAAAATAACTGATGATGATGCTCCTGCTCTGTTGTTAGCCCTGTTGTCAGTCGGTCAGTTCTTAGCCCAGGGACTTACCCCGGATTAGCTGGCCTAGCTCGATAACTGTAGCGCTGCAGCCTAGCATGCTAACTGCAGCTGCAGGTCTATTTCTGTGTGTCTCACTTCCAGCTGTGAACAAACCAGGTGTGGCACATGTCAGCTGACTGTCCCCGGTCCAGGGCGATGCTTTGCCTGTCTCACCTGTTCCCAGGTCAGTTCTTCCTGCTTCCACCTGGGCCACCAGTCCTGCCCATAGTGTGAGTCCAGACCCTGGTCCAGCTCATTGCTCTGTGCCGTGGCCCTCCACTGTTGTCCACCAGCTATTAACCCCCCCAGTGAGCCACACCGCTGCACTGGGGGCAGGTTGTTTCCTCCTCAGGAAACACAGGAGGTGTCTGTTTCCAACACACAGCTCCTCGGGCTGAGAACAGCTTCACTGTTTCACTTATTTTTCCATCACTACAGAGGACACTGCACTGACTTACATAAGCAGCTATATGTTGCTGCTGCTCCTCACTGAACGCCATGATGCTTCCACTGATTGAAATATTCAACCCAGAGACTTCCTGTTTTGTTATGGCTACACTGTTGCATCAGGTGGAAATATTCCACTTCATGAAACCTTCTGGCTCCAGTGGACACTTAGGCACGTTACCTGGGACTTAGACTGTGGTCTTTCACTGTGTGTGTGCAGCTGTCTGTGTGGCCATAGTGCTCTCTAATCCCATCAGCACAGACTTACTGATGAGCTAACAGCATTACACCACTTAGCTTGGAAGCTCACTGTGTCTGTGGAGATTTGCAATGAGTTGCTGACACCCACCTTCCTCTTCTTCCTCTCTCTGCAGTCATGACTCATCAGCAGCTCCTGAGTTTTCATGCAATGCTACGCTAGGCTAACACAACAGAACAGTGTGTACCAGAGCAGCAGCAGGCTAACGCTAACCCACACAGCTTCACTCAGAGCTGCATCGCCACTGACTGTGCCGTCATGCAGCCAGCGGTCATCTCTGTGTGTCTCATACATCTGCAGCTGCTGCTCGAGCTGCCTTTAACCCCCACCGTCAGTGTGTGCAGCCTGTAAGCGGCAGTATGTTCATCTAAGACATGGAGAACCACTATTAATTTTGACAATTGAATTTCATTTTGTTTCAGTCTTCTGATAAAAATGCACAGGTCTAGTTTAAGTCAATGAAAACTAATTTGCATCATTTTCAATGCTTATATTTTCTAACCATTTTGAGGCTACAGCTATCTCCAACTTTGTTGTGCACAGTTATTGAGGTTACAGCCTTTTCCATCTTTCTTGCGCACAGTTACCACGGTTACAGGTGTGTATCTGTCCCTGTGCTGAGCAGAAGCCAATTCGGTCCCATTTGGACTAAACCCCTGCTCACTGGGTTCAGCCTGACAGAAGCTACATCATGGGAGAACATTAACACAGAGAGACATCCATCCTGGGACTGGCCAATTCCTTCTGACAGAAACACAGATATCTGACTGACAATGACGCTAACGTTACATCCACAGCACTTCCTGTTTCTCGAAGGTCTACCATGTTTCCTTTTCCCAGTGCAGGAGTGTGGCTCACCTGGGGGGGAGTTAATAGCTGCTGGACAACAGTGGAGGTCTACGGCACCGAGCAATGAGCTGGACCAGGGTCTGGACTCTCACACATTACGGTGAGGACACCACGTTCACTGTGGCTGGTGGGCTCTGGGCGGGGGTGGGGGGGCCACACAGACATAGAGAACCAGTGGCTGCAGCCTCAAACTGCATGCTCTCTGCATGTTGCACACTAGATAGACTGCATAAAGGAATCAGATGAGAGAGAACCTACAGTTTCATGGCTTCCAGCTCAGTGTCTGCCAAAAGCCTTAGTGACATCGAGCAAACACTTTCAGCCAAATGCTATCTTAGCTGAGTATAGCTGATTCTGATTCTGTATAGAGCCACATACCTGAACAGAACAACAGATTAGCTCACCTGTGCTAAACATGGCTGCGCACCTCAGTGGCAGGGTCAACGAACTCCAACTGAACCACTAATTTATCATCATCACACATTAACCAGTGCCTGTAACCACATTAAAGAACCAGGAGTCACTGGTGATTAAAAAGCCTGAGTGGTACAAAGAACCAGACAGCACTCCGAGAGCGCAGACCTCCACAAGGCAGCCCACAATGCCATTCCACCTAAAAGCGCCACCGCCATGATAGCGTGACCCTCATACTGTGATTCCATGGCCATGAAAACCTCCTAAAAACTAAATGGTAAATGGCCCCCACCCTCCTACCTGCGTCTCATTTTAATCATTCTGTATTCAGATGTAGCCATCTGTATTTTCTCACTGTGTTCTGCGTCTCTGTTTCCATCTCCTCTTCTATTTTGCTTCTTCTTCTTTTCATTCTTCTACTGAGGCTCTAAGGAACAAGGAGAGGAAATGAGAAGAGGAAACAAGGAGATGAAGGAAGGAAACAAGGAGAGAAGAGGACAGGAGAAAAGGAGCAGGTTTACTGATAAGATTAGAAGATTACTCCTGTTAATCTCTGTCCATGTGGTCAGAGGGATGATGATTTCACACTTGGCACCATCTCTCTCACACAGTCACAAACCTACAGCTCTGACCTTTGACCCTGAACGAAGGTTCATCACCATGGAGACGTGCTGCAGAACATGGACACATGAACTGACCGATGAGAGAGTCTGACTCATCAGGCTGATTAACTCGGAACCTCCTCAAGGACAAATGAAAATTTTTCAAGAACCACCTGAATCCCCGATTGACCATTGGAACATTTTCAAAGACCCCTAAACCCCCTGAAGGACCAGTGAATCCCTTTCAGTCCATAAAGGACACCTGGAACATCTTCCAAGGACTGGGAGAACCCCCTAAACAAGCCTTAGAAACAGTTCAAGGCCACAGTGCCCTCGCTCAGTTCCAGAGGCTGCGAGGTGAGCAGCAGCTCCGACAGCTGCAGCTATTTTTACCAGTCTGAGACAAATGCCAATGACCTTGTCAGAGTGAGTCCCTATAAACCGTGCATGCACGTTCAGCTGTTCTCTTGAACCTCTCCAACACTCGAACCAAGACACGTGGGGCCCTTCAGCCTTTTCACCGACCTTGCTCTGTCACTGAACTACTGACTGATGATGTGCTGTTGTAACGAACTGACAAAATATCACAGGATTCAAGCTGGACAGTTTCCTCACTAAAAGGCAAAGGTGAGGCAGACAACTGCTCCGGGGCCACGCATCCTCAGGGGCCCCAACACAATGTTTACTTCTACATAATCTTCCACAGGGTTATACATGCAAGAGACTGTGGAGAGGAGGGATGACAGGAAGGGAGGAGCAGAGGGACAAAGGTAAATGGTCTTAACAGGTGCCTTTCTCTGCACTCAGGGATACACACCATCTCCCATTATCCCACACATTCATGCCAGCGATATCACTGGGAGCAACTCAGGGTTCAGCATCTTGCTCAAGGACATGTGGAGTGGAGAAGCCGGGGATCGAACCTCCGACCATATGGTTCAGGGACAAGGAAGGAGAGAAGGAAAGGCAACAAGGGGATGAAAGAAGGTTAGAAGAAAGGAAGGAGGGATGGACAGAACAAGGACAAAAGACACGAGATGCCCTAAATTTTCCACCTCAAACAGGAGTAAAAATGTTTTTGCAATATTTCAGAGTTTATTTTCAGCTTCCACCCTTTCCACTGAACACGTCACTAAAATCAGGCGGCTGGAAACTCGCCCAGTGACTCAGTCGAGTTCACACACTTCCCTCTTGATTTTACCTGAATCTGCTGCTGTGCATGTTTTAGAACGGTGCAAGACATATTAGAGTGTACAAATACTCTGCCGCAAGTAAAAGATCTTCATTCAAAATGCCACTCGTGCAAAGTACAAGAGTATTACTATCCAAAATATACCTGAAGTACCATCAGTACCAAGTATTACTATCCAAATATACCTGAAGTACCATCAGTACCAGTACTTGTCCTGCAGAACGGCCCATGTCCCAGTAACGTCTCTGATACTGGATCATAGTGACTAATTACTGTGTCCATCACTTTAATGCTGCAGCTGGTAAAGGTGGAGCTGATGGTAACTACCTTATATACTTATACTGGGAAGTACTTTCTATCCTGCTGGGTAGCTGGTGGATTTCCTACTGGGATCAATAGAGTCTGATGGTTCTACTGGGTTTGGTTTGATTCATCTGGTTCAAAGTACATGATGTGCAGTAAAAAGTATACGGTTTGTCTCTGACACGGAGTCACAGGATGAAGTAGCAGGACATGGACGTACTCATGTACAGTACAAGCAGGCCTATGTCAAACTGGTACTGAAGTAGTTGAGTAAGTGTACTGAGTCCCTGTCCACAGTGAGGGTGTTCCCCTCCCAGTGTTAACATAGTGTGTCCCTGTGAATACACTGGGTTTGTGTTGCCAGTCCAGCCTGACGCCACCAGAGTGAGTCACGAAGTCGTGCTGGCTTCCAGGCTACAGACAGAAGAAAAACTGCAGAACGGTCCTTTGGCTTCGGTCCCTGCTGGATAAATCAGGTGTGAAGCAGCAGAGCGCGGTGACGGAGGTAACCTTTACAGTGTGTAACGTGAGAGCTGACCCTTTTCTCTTGACTCTCTGTGATTTAGCACGAGTCCTCCTCCTCCTCCCGTCTGTGTGAACATCCAGACCTTTCCCTCCTTTCTCTCCTCCATCTGGCTCAAACTGTGTGAACGAGACCTTTTCAGGTGAGGAAACGCCTCTGTTCCCCTTCTCTGCCCCCTCGGCAGTTTGCCTCCGCTGGTGGAGTTTAATTTTCACACAGGGTGAAACCTCCTGCTGGGGTTCCTCCTCTCCTCCAGGGTTTTCCACAAACCATTCCCACTTTTAACCACAAATCAATTCAGTCTTAGTCTGACAGGGAGGCTGCTGGGATGGGAACCATAGAGACGCAGCCACAGGTCAGTGTGTGTCTGTGCTTGAAGAACAGTTAGCTGGTTATTCTGATCAATTCAACTAATTAGAAGCAAAATTGACATGTCTTTAAGGGTTAATCATCCATTTTGTCCAACTGGAACTAGAGCTAAAACAATCCAACAGAAAACTACTGCTGTCCAAGTGGACGCCAACCACACGGCGGCAGCTTCTAACCCACGAGGACTGTCTGAGGGTTTTTCCTCTGTGCTGCGTCGGTCAAAGGAAAGCCAGGTTAACATCAGTTTGGCTTGTTTCTTTATAAGATCTGACCAGGAGGCTCACCTGTTACATTTACATCTAATGAAGCAGAAGCTAGCCAATTGCATGCTTGCTAGGAGAGGGGGCAAAGCCTAACATCTGTAGGCCAGCTCCCTCCAGGTGTGTGTGTGTGTGCGTGTGAGATGTGCCTCACCTCCTCCATTCTTGTAGCACAGGTAGGGGAACCTCCACACGTTGCCGAGACCAACAGCGAAGCCAACGCAGGACATAATGAAGTCCATCTGCCGCGTCCACATTTCCCGCTCTGGATATCCCGTCCCTGCCCCTGTGTCCACACCCCCTTTTTTGTCTGTACCGGCACAAGCACTGCTGGAGCCCACCATTGGGACAAGGCTGCTGTCAGGAGCCGCGGTGGGGTAACCAGCACCATTACACAGGAGGAGGGGGCCCTTCTTGGTCTCCTCCACGAGGCCCAGGGAACAGGGCGAAGCTGCCAGGCTCTGCTTCTCCATCTCAGTCCACACAACAGTCAGGAAGGGCTCGAGACTCTCAGCCTGTCTCTTTCCTGAATTCCCTTTAGTTCCTGGAAGTTCTTGTCCTGTCTCTCGTTTCCCAGTTAGAATCACCCCAACAACTGCCACCAGCTACAAACCAGTAGCAACCAGTCAGGAAAAGTCAGCTGTGGGTCTGAATGTCTCCTTCAGGCGTCCCTTTAATTAAATTTAATTTAATTTAAAGGTTTGGACCTTTCTCCTGTGTTTTCCCCTAAAATGTCTTTTCCCTTTACTTAATTAATTTCCCTAAAACCACTCAGATCCGTTTCTCCCTCCCAAACCAGTCAGATGCCAGTGAAGAACCAGTAATAGAGCACACCGTCTAGATCTTCGTCCGTTGTCCCTGGTTCTGGTTTAGTCCACGTCCTGTCGGAGCCCCAGGCGCGTCGGGGACAGACGAGTCAGTGGGTCCCTGTAGTCTGAGCTCTCGGCTGCTCCTGCCTTTACTCTTCTGGTTCAGTAATGAGAGTTTCTGTGGGTGAGCAGCCTGCGGGTCGAGGATCAGTCCAGTCTGTTTATGTGTGAACCCAGTTTTATCCAGGAGCACCGATTCGGACTTAACGCATAAAAAGGGAAAAAACCGAAAATATCTAACAACTATAGGGAGACAGTTCTTATTAAAATCAAAAATAAGAGACGAAATGACGAAGTAAAAATGGTGAAAACAGAAAATAAATGGAATTCCACCGACAGTCGGACAGCGACCTTCAAAAACAATCCACGAAGCACTTGAATGTGAGTCTGAAGAATCGCATGGGAACAGAGTCACAGAGGAGCCGGTGGCCTGCTGGAAGACGGGGCGCACGGAGAGGACGGCACCGGGATTATGGTCCTCTCAGCCAAGAAGGCACCGAGCGGCGGAAGGGTTCGGTCCCGGCGGCGGGCTGTGGGACCACCGTGTAGTCTGTGTAGGAATCGTCGCGGAGCAGAGGGGGGATGAGGAGGAGCGAGCTGCAGCGGGTCAAGGCTGTCAAATGGCCCGTTAGAGGGCTGCAAGGCTTTTAAAGTCTGCCTGACCGCAGTCCCCACCAGGGGCTTTAAACGCACAGGCGGCCGTCGGGTGACGTCACATGCCAGGCTCCGCCCCTCCCTGTTGTCCATCCCAGCTCTGAGTCTTCTCTTTTATGTATTTTTGCGCATATGGCCCAGTGTTGGCTCCGGTCAGTGCGCTCACGCTGCGTCCACATGTCAGTGCCATGTACCCGGCTCCGGTGTGAACACCACTGAGCTCCTAAACTACCACACATGCACAGATGTAACTGAAATGTGAGCCACGTGCACACAACAATAACAACCAGGTGGTGTGTGTGATGGTCAAATGGCCCAGTTTCCTCCCAAACCACTGGGTTACGATATGTTCCTCCCAGTTTGTCCTGATCAGAAGCTTCTCCGTAAACGTCCACCACATGTGAAACGTCCTGGTCTCTCCACACCGCCCTGGACAACGTCGGATCTGGGATGTGGGTGTAGACTTTGTCTGGTTGTCAACCATCTCTGATGAGTTGCTGACTCCAGGTGTCTCCAGGTGTGGACAGCTTCTGCTCCGACAGGTGCTGAAAGACATCTGAAGTGGTCCTTTAATTTTAAAAGACACTTCAGAAACCACACGCTGTTCTGTCTGTGCGGACGCGCGCTGCGTCATGAGCAGCACCACAGGACGGCCGGCGATATCGACCAGCGGATTAACGACCCACGATGTTATTGTCAGTGCTACGCTACCTGTTGGAATCAGTTCCACTACTTTGGGACTGGATGTGCTCGTGTGACGCACCGGTTGGATCGACCGACCTTGGAGCTAAAGGGCTCGGTGGGACTTAACGGTAAGTTCAACAAACACACGTTGTGTGTCTGTTAGTGCTTTGTTTCCTTAACGTTAGAGAGAATTGTTGTAAGGCTGGAGAAGTTACTGTCTCATCTGCGTCACTTGTACTGGGTCACGTGCCCCAGTGTAAATCAGCTGTGCCCCAGTAAATAAGGGTTATTATTAGACCATTCTTCAGAGAAACTAAATGCAAGAGTCAATAAACCAACTGACGCACGTAAAAGAAACAATAAAAACAAAAACGTGCTGCAATAACGCTGCTGCAGCTGCGCGTGGAAGCTATGTTCCCGCGCGGCGTGCCCGTGCATACCGACTGTGCGCATGTTTCAAATGCCAATCAGCGTACGTCGCGCGACGAGCAGGTAAAGATAATGTATGAAAACGCAGTGAAAGTAAAGTTTCCATGAGTGATAGCTACACTATCTGAACAATGACTAATTCCTCCTGTAGATGGATATCAGAACATTGAGGCAAAGAGAGGGAAGCAGAAAGGAGAGATGAGTTTGAGGGAGGTAAGACAAATGTTGACAAATGAGCTGTAGCTAACGGACTTGTGTGTGTGTGTGTGTGTGTGTGTGTGTGTAGCTGTGAACGGTCATTCAGCGCACTGAGACGACTCCACACTTGGCTGAGGTGCACAATGGGCCAAGACAGGCTTCACCATCTTGCTGTCTTATCAGTTGATCAGGAAGAACTTTGTAAACTGAGTGAGAGTCAAGTTATTGACAGATTTGCCAAAATGAAGAATAGGCGCTACACGTTATTGCACAAAAAGGGAACCAACTGAACTTCTTAGATTTGGTGGACAAGACGTTTTTAAGCTTAGAGAAATACTTTGCTTTACTTTGTGTATAGGATGTGTAGGATATGATATTAATTTGTAGTTGTAGGATATGATATTAATTTGGAGTTGCTGAAGTCATATTTGGACATGTTTATGTCTGTTTTGGTAGCATTCATGTGTGTATGCTGTTTATTCTTTGAAAATGACATCTGATAAAAATTAAACCACTTTTGTTCTGAGGGAGTACTTATTAATTATTTGTGTGTATAACTGTGTAATGTACAACTGTACGTGTGTATATCTATCTATCTATTCTAATCTATCCGGGCCAATATACAGGCCTAAGTAACTCAGACCATAGTAACTCTTAGTAGTCCCCCAAGAATAACACCCCTCCTGTCTTCAGAGGTCAAACTCATGCAAACTTCCCCAGTACTAAGCTGCTACCCCCAGATAGATCTGCAAACACAGAGACGTTGGAGTTACTCACACAGATAAAACTTTATTTGAGTCAAAGTATAATTTAACAATGAAAATGTTTTAAGAAACCCAACCCCAGAAGCTAAAATGCTACCTATAAGAAGTTTCCCCCACTCAATAAATACAGTGCAGAACAGGAATAAAATGGCCAGAGTCAACAGGTTAAAAGGCACCATTAAATAAACACCACAAATCAATTAATCAACCAAATATAAGAGGGCCTTACCTCCCTGTGCATAAAACCATTCACACACTGTTCACACCATAAAATTGACTAAACCCTATTTAGAAACAATACAATGAATAGGGAACAGAAATACTAGGTAAACCTCTTTACATAAAAACAAGGCAAAACGTTGCATAAGCAAAACACTACATAAACAAAACACTACCTACGCAAAGCAAAGCAGCAGAAACCAGGTGAAATCTTAAGAGATCTTTTTTGAGTTCACTACAAGAATCTAAATTTGCACAACATTTGGAGGAAAACAATGTCACACCTGTCAAAATTGATACCGTTCAAAGTCAATTTCTGTATGTAAAAGCCAAATAGAAAGACACTTATAGGCAGAGAGAGGCAGTGAGAGGAGCCACATGAATGTAATTTGATGTAAGGGACTGGAGAGGAGCAGAGGCCGCCTGTCCAGCCAGCCAGGGTCCTAAGCAGGTGCTTGTCGCCTTTGCCATGCATGACCAAATTTAGACAGACTCCTAATCTGGTGCACACAGGCCACCATGCTGAGCCAGAGAGTAGATGAGGTGAGCAGAGGAGGAGCAAGAGGGCCAAAGAAGTTGAGTGGACGGGGGTAGGGGTGGGGGCTAAATTAGGGAGAGGAGGAGAAAAGGCCGAAAAATGGAGATAGGGTCGAAGAGGGCAAGAAGGCAGAGGCAGCGGCTAAATCAGGTTGCTATGGGACACTGCCAGACAGCTGAGAAGGCAGGATTCCTGAAGTGAACTGTAAGTGTCCAAGATGAAGAGAGGCGCACAGACTACACCCAAGGTCTAAATACTGCTACCGAGGTGCTATTGGAGAGTGCAGCCCCCTCCTCTCCTACACGTACTGGCTGAGGGAGATGATGGATGTCTCCCTGCTGTCACCCGGGTAGTCTTCCGCAGGGCAGGTGCACTCGTACTGGGGACCTCTTCTGAAGGGGAAGAAAGACAGGGGCCTGGTGTAGCCAGAGGCATCTTTGACTTTACAACAGTGGAACCCTTTGGGTGAACCTTCACTGGTTGTTCCTCCGATTGCCTTACAATCACCAACAGTCCTGATTCTGTTCCTTCCTCCTCTGCATCACTCTCCTTCTCCTCCGATCGCATGCCTGACAGCTCCAAGAAATCACTCTGAGGGCACCCCAGGCCAGTGGTCTGGATTGGTTTCAGCATTGTTCGATGTACCTGCCGAACCTGAGCCAAATCATGTGCAGGAGCCACTGAATACACCACCTGGCCT